TCATCTGTAGAAACAGAACTTGTCCCCTTTGAAGTATTATCTCCCCACCCCCCAGCTCCTGGCAAGGTCTATTCTACTTTTTTCTTTTCTTTTTTAACCATCTTCACTCAAGGATATTTTTTCATTGCTTTTAGAGAGAGAGGAAGGGAGAGAGAAACATTGATGAGAGAGAGAAGCATCGATTGGTTGCCTCCCACACACACCTGGACCAGGGATTGTACACATCTGGACTGGGGATCAAACTGCATCTTAGGCATGTGCCCTGGCTAGGAATCAAACCCACAACCTTTCAGCTATGGGATACCACTCTAATCAACTGAGACACACCAGCCAGGGCTACTTTTTGCTTTTTGAATTTTCCTATTCTAGGGATTTCACGTAAGTGGAATCACAGTATTTTTCTTTAGCGACTGGCTTAGTTCACTGAGAATAACGTCCTCAGTGTTCATCCATGTAGAATCAAGTGTCAGAATTCCTTCCTTTTAAGGCTGAATAATGTTTCATACCATTGTGTTTATACAATCATCTGCCTATGGATACTTGGGGGCTCCCCCTTTTGGCCACTGTGAGTAATGCTGCTGTGACATGGGTGTGCCAGTATCCAAGTCTTTGCTTTCACTCCTTTTGGGCATCCACTCAGAGCAGATGTACTGGGTCATATGTCTGCACTATTATCTTATGTTCCTGAGGGCTCTGAGCTCAGTCTGAGTCTGGGTTTCACCAGAAATCTCACCTCCCCTGGCTTCTTTCCCTCTGGTTCCTGGGAGCACCTTCTTAATTACTTGTCTCAGAGCTGCTCCAGAGAGCATCAAGCCTCAGACACCCTGAGGTGTGGTGTGGTGTTCGGTGAAGACATGAATGAGCGTGATGAAGGATGACACTCATTTAACTTTGTCTCCTAGACGCTAATAAGTTTCACTCTAAAGGAAAAAAAAGGCAGCAGCCCTGGTACCAGGCAGACTGTAAGAGCCATATCTAGGACCTTTGAAAGGGAGCAACCGGGAGCAAACTCATTGGTTCAGAATTCTAATTATTTTCTTTTTAATGATCATTGTGCTCCATGGCACCTCTCCATTTCTCTCAATGCCTGCTGTTTACAAGAGACTAACAGCCTTGTTTAAAAAAAAAATGTCTACAAGGACCAGCAAGTAGTTTTAAAACTCACCAGGCCAGCTCTAGAACTTACACCGTGGCCCCTCTAGAGTTCCATCTCTGCTCCTCCTCTCTCCCTGAAAGACCTCTCTCCCTTTCTTTTATTCAAGACAATCTTGAATTTATTATTAAAGAACTTTATTAAAAGATCTAAGATAAACACTATATTTGACTTTGCAGCTTCTAAGCAAGGTTTGGCCATTGCGCCCAGACTGATGCAGTGTTCAGGTGCGCAAGTCCTATTTTGTTGTCTCCCTCTCAGCCCCTAGCAGGGGAATGCCAGCCTCTTCTCTGCTTCTCAGGGGATTTCCTTTGTCTTTTGGTGGGGGTATAGCTTAGGGCAGACACTGGGAGGCCAAGCGACAAAGTTGGAGACAGAGTCCAAGAGGGTGGGAACTGATATTGACGAACACCTGTAGCTAGTCACCTCTGTGCCAGGTGTTGCTTCAATTTACAGATAAGGAAACAGCTCACAGTCACCAGGTACTGGGCAACAGAGGCAGGTGCAAAGCACGCCTTGTTAACTCCAAAAGTAGATTTCTGTGCCCTGTGGTGCCCTGAGCTGCCTCCAAGGGGGAGTGGCAGAAGGCAGAAGGCCAAGCCCTTGAGTTCCTTGCAGCCTGTTTTTAGCCCCAATGAGCAGAATCACACTGTCAGGTAGATTTGGATGGCTGGCTCAGAGGTCTTTCTCTGGAACTTTTTAGATGGGTGTATTTCATTGGATGCCATTGCACTTCAGATCTGCGAAGAGGGAAATGAATAGCTGATGTGTGCTCTTCCTGGATGAGGGGTATCAGACAAGGTCTCAGGTCCCCACAGATGCCCAGAAACACTTAAAGTCTGTTTTTCATTTTAGTGGTGATCTAAAAATTAGATATAAGCATATTCTGGATGAGCACTTCTTAACCAAGTGTGTTTGACACACGTGTTCATGATCAAATGTGCACTGAGAGAAAGTCAGGGATTTCATCGGTGGCGAAGTTTCTGCGATGGTTCAGTGAGGCAGGGGGGGAACGCTGAGCCCGGTCCTGGCGGAGGCCGCACAGGTGGCCGAGCCCCGGCCCGCAGCGGTCTGGGGCTTGTCCGCCCTGCCAGCGGGGGGGCTGGGCCCAGGTCCTGGTGAAGGCCGCACAGGTGGCCGAGCCCTGGCCCGCAGCAGTTGGGCTTGTCTGCCCTGCCAGCGCCAGGGCTGGGCCCAGGTCCTGGCCTCAGCTACAGGGGCTTGCAACCCACAGTGAACCCAGCATACAGTAAATGTGAAGTGAAATTTTTTTCAAAAAGGTCTTTTAAAAGAAATGTTTAAGAATTCTATCTTGGTGTATGCTATTATGTTACTTGGGCTAATGATTAAAGACGTGATTATAGTTAAAGGAAAATAATGACGAGAGTAGAGACTTAATTGATGGTCTGTGTGCTCAAATTCCTGTAAAAGAAATCCATTAGGATCCAGTAGGAAACACATCCAGACATCTTTCTCTGACTAAACCCAGCTTTGGTGACTTGTGTGTCCTTTTAACTCTAGTGATTTTCGTAAAGTGTACTTTACTCTCACTTGTCCTCAGTTCATATTTACATGTATATCTTTCCATTCTTTTACTTTCAACCTTTCCTTATATTAAAAGTGTTTCATATGAAAACAGCATATAGTTATTTTGTTTTTAAATCCAGTCAATCTTTGTCTTTTCATTGGATCTTTGTCCATTTACATTTAGTGTGATATAAAATGTTGTTGGGTTTATGCCTACAACATTTATCTTGCTATTTTTTTTTCTGTTTATCCTGTTTATCCCTTATTTCTTGCTTTTTTTTTCTATTTTTCTCTATTAGCATATTATACATTCTCAGACTTTAGGACCACATTCTCTTTTAAAGAAAAATTTAAAAATTTGACCTGACATGTTTCCAAATTGTCCCTGTAGTTACAGTAGGCTTTAGAAGCTGAGCTCTGAACCTAAATAATTGCATGGGGTGGCCTGACTGATGTGGATCAGTTGGCTGGGCATCATCCCACAAAGCAAAAGGTTGCTGGTTCAGGGCACATGTCTGGGTCATGGGTTTGATCTCTGGTTGGGATGCACATGAGAGGCAACCAATGTTTCTCTCACATATTGCTATTTCTTTCCTTCTCTTTCTCCCTCCTTTCCCCCTCTCTAAAAATAAATAAAATCTCTAAAAAAAAAATAATTGCATGGGGGTGATGACTACAGAACTGCAGAGAGGAGAGAACAGAGATGGAGGCTTAGGAAGACAGTGGGGAGGGAGCAGGTGGAGGTAGGGAGGGACCAGAGCAGGACAGGGAAGGGGGGAGACTCAATGTCCATGGGGGCGAGGCAGACTGAGACCTGTCTTTCTCACAGCTGCTAAGCACCCTCTAGCCGCATTTGCCTCCTGCCTCAGACCCTCTAGTTGGGCGGGTGATTCTTGGGCTCACAGCCAATGAGTGTGTCCCAGGCCAAGTCCATCCAACTGGTGAGCCTCAAGGCAGCAGGTGGGAGGTGCGGGGGGAGGGGGGGAACAGGCTACTCCTATTTCTCTTAGTTCCTCTGCTACCCTTTCAAATGCAGGCAGAAAAGTTCACAGGTTACTGGAAAAACGACCACCTGACACAGATCTATACACCCAGGAACTGGAACATCTCTGAGATGAACAATTGGGGGTCAGGGAACACAAGCAAACACTTAAAGTACATTCAGTGTGTCTGGCTGGTTCTTACAAGCTTAATGAATATTAATTTAGTGATTATCACAACCAAAAGAAACAGGTGTCTATTATTTGATCCTGTTTCACAAACAAAGCAGAATGGTTAAGTCACTTGCCCAAGGGCATGCAGTTATCAGGTCGCTTAGCTGGGACCTGAACTGGCTGGTCTTGTTCACACTCTACAGCCTCAAACAGCCTCTTGCCACAGTGACCGCGCCAGCAGTGGGGAGCTGCTGACACCACCCAGCGCTTCTCCGTGTGTTGTCTTTGCAATCTACTGGACCCCAAAGTCCGCCTCACGTTGCAGTCTCTTCCTTTGCCTCCTTGCGTGATGCGTTATTTGACTTTTTGCAGGGTGGGTGTTAGTCTTTTCAGTAGAACTCTCCAGTGTGATGGCCAAGATGCACAGAGGGGAGTTGGACGCAATTCACTGTGAGATTGAACTTGACATACGAATCCACGCTTGGCACTGATAGACAACACCTGGATTTACATCCTGCCCCTTCTTTCCTTTTTTGTATGAAAACCAGGGCGTTTGATGTTGATTCTGACTTGGACGTTGAACATACTGGATTTTCTATGCAATTCTGAGACACTGCACTTGCTGCTTTCTCGGCAGGCCAGTGAAGCTTGCCATGGGGGGGCACCTGGGTGGGGAGTGGGAGCGAGTAGAAGTCGCCGTGATGGTGGCGGGTTTTATGTGCAGCTGGCTCAGGCAGCAATGTCGGGCTTATACACAGGGCCCCTCAGCACCCCTGCCTGGGGGACACGGACGCTCAGGACGCGTTAATGTCTGCTGTTTTGTCTGTTTTACTGGACCCATCTAGAACCCTCCCATATCTTTGGAGAATTCAACCACGCTTAGCAGAATTAATGGCATCAGAATCTTTTACTGAAGGAAACCTGACAGTCGGAAAAACAAATCAAGCTTGGATTCTGTGGTATTGCATCTCGGTTTCCTGTTTATGAATTATGCAATTCACTCTAAAGGCTATTTTCACGTTGCGTTCGCATGACTTGATAAACTGTCTCCAGAGGAAACCACACAGCCTGATACTCACTGACAAACAATATATACCTCAGAGGGTGGCAGGAGACCACAATGTGGCTTCCACAGTTCAACATTCAGAAGAGCACAATGGACATACCTGTGATCAGTGTGTCACTTGGAATGTCTTCTATGATGCATTTCTCCTCTCGTTCTCCCACGTGGAAATAAAAAGCAGTTGTAAGTGAAAAACAGAAACTTAAGAGAAATGTTAGCGTTTGCATTTCTGTTGCTTGAGCCATTCCTGGGTATTCGCTTTGAAATGTATCAATTGCAAATGATGCTGCTTATTGAGTGTTTGTATTTCATTGACTAAGTTTGTAAATTGATTTCTGTGAGAAGTGACATGTGGTGGTTGCCCTTGGGCAGGTGTTGCAGCAAGTCCCAGGGAACAAGACATGTGGACCTCAGGGCCTTTCGAAGCACGATGACATCAGAATGCCCTCCCATCTGTTGTTTTTAAGGATTTTGAAGTGTTTTAACGGGATGAAAGACAATGCGGGCCTGGAGCAAACCACAAAGTGCGAAGCCCAGCAGATACCCCTTGACCCAACCCACATGGCCATTTTCTGGTGGTCTGCCTGGCTTGGCAGGAGGCGGGGGGAGGAAGTAAGGGCTGGCCCTGGGAGTGAGGAAGGAGAGGAGGGAGACAGGCTGGAGGAGCAGGCCGGTTGCTGGGACGCGATGCGCCGGCCTATGAGGCACTGACAGCCTGGGTTTAACTGAGGACTCGCCCTGAACAGGAGCATCCAATGTATTTTTTTAAAGCTTTTATTTTTAAATATTTATAGACTCACAGAAAGCTGCAGGAGCAGTATGGGGGGGCCCCACGTGGCCCTCTCCTGGCTGCCCCGGCGGTGACACCGCACAGAACCAGGAGGCCGCAGAACTGCATCATGGGAGCAGAACTGGGCATTTGACTCTTTGTTTGGGCATCTTTAATAAAGGTCTCTGTCTAGCAGACCTGCCATTAGATCTTTACAGGGACAGCTTTCTTAATTAATTTATTTATTTTTTGAATAGTCCATATTTTCCTATTTCTTTGTAGCCTTGTGTTGAAACTGGACGTTTGGACCTAATAATGTGGTAACTCTGGAAATCACATTCCCCCTCTTTCTCAGGGTTTGCTGTTTTGTGTTGCTGTTGCTTGATTGTTGTAGGTTGTCTCTGTGGAACAGCTCTGAGGGGTAAACCTGAGGTCTTCTTGGGCCTTTTCTGAGATGGTCCTGGGCATGGTCTCACTTTCTAGTGTTCCCGGTACATGCAGTTGTTTTTAAATACCTTCCCATAAATATTTGGCTCTGAAAGGGGGAAAAGTGAAAAATTAAGGGAGAAGGGAGAGTAGGGTGCCAGCTTTTTAAATCTTCTGCAAGTCACCTCAGCTGGAGGGGGCAGGGCTTGCAACTGGGGGCTGGAGTTGCAACAACAATGGCTGCTCCCCCCCTCTCTGCCTCTCTGTGATTAGGAGCAGCAACCACCGATCGGCGCCCAGGCCCCCGATGCTTGGAACACAAGGCCCTGCTTGCTCATCTTGGTTCCTGCGAGCGGGGTGTGGGCTGCTGCAGGGGCGCGTGCCCAGCTGCCTGCCCCCGGCTGGATGGGGGATGGGAGCTGCTGCTGTGCTAGGAGCTACGTTGACCAGAATGAACCACAATTTACCCTCCCCTGGAAGGGTCCTCCCCTGGAAGGTGCGACCCTTCCACAGACTCCAGAGTCCCCACTTAGCCCCGTCGGATAGAGCCTGGTAGTCGGTCAGGTGGACACAGGTGCTTCCTGCTCCACCTTCTGCCCCTTGTCTTGGCTCCGTTGATAAAAGAACATAAAGAGTGTGTTTCCACTGGGCTACTTTTGCCTTCAAGCTTTTCTGGAGGACAGAGAGGAGATATTCTTGTGCTATGGCATGTCCTCAGATGTGTCTTCAGGGTAGTAGTCATCTTGGTATTAAACCCAGTTTTTGTTCATCTGTCAATGTATAAAAGCCTTCATCCTTGAAAGATAGTGTTGAGTTCACAACTGTGGGTCAGTAGTTTCTGTCAACACATTCAAAGTTTTGGCCTTCTGACTCCCTCGGCTGTTGCTGAGAAATGACTGTTGTTCCAATAGCTGCTCCTTTGGGGGTGATCTGTCCCTCCTTGGGGCCCTTCAAAGGTCTCCTCTTGGGTTGGTGCTCAGCAGTCTCATGTCATGTGCTCGGGCGTGGGGCCTTTATCTGGCCCGTGTGGGATATAGTATGCATTCTGGTCCTGAATGGTCCTTTTTCTTTTAGCTAGTTCTGTAACTTTGGCACTGTAGTCTGAATATTTCCTTCTCTCTCTATTATTCCTACTAAATCCTCAGAGTGTCAGATTTAAAACGTCTTAACACTGCTCATTTTATCTTCCACATCTTCTTGAAGTGTCCTGCCCCTTTGTCTCTCTCTGGGCTGCGTTCTGGGTGATGTCCTCAGTAACTCTTCCTGCAGCAGTGAGTGAGGACAAAAGTCAAACTACACAGTCTTTTCTTTCCAAATGTACCTGTTGTTTCTAATCATCCCTTGTTGATTGGTCATCTTTGTTGTACCTGTTTTACTTCTGATAATTTCATTATCTTAGGCCTCTGAATCTATTGGGTTTTTTTTCCCCTGCTGACTTTCCATCAATTGTAGTGGCTTGTTTTCTCGTTTAACTAGTGACTTTTGGGTTGCACTCATTGCTTGATTTTGATGGGTGGGAGGCCTGAGACCCACACTGGGAGTTGGGAAAACTTCCTCCAGAGAGAACTACATCTGCTCTTCCCCAATATCAAGGGACACTACTGTCACTGAGGGCCCTCTCAGCAAGTGGGCACCAGCCTGTCTTCTGGACTCTGCTGCTGGCCTGTACTCAGCAGCAGCCTCCGGGGAGCCCTGTCTTTCCCAGCTGCTCACATAGCTGGGCATAACCCCAGCTCTACTTTGCTCCAGTCCCAGTTCAGTTTTTTTTGTTTGCTTATTTTTGGAAGTCAGAGGAGGAAGTGAGAGTTTGCTTCTATCTCTTATGGAAAGGGCAGTGTCTCAGATGGTGTTTCCACCCAGAGTTTAGGGTCTGGCTGGGTGCGAGGCAGAGGACATCTGGGTGGCCCTAATGCCCAAGGCAGTCATTTGGGTGTGCCCTCCAACAGCCTTTCCTATAGTTTCAGTGGAGTTTGGGCAGAAGTGGGTTCAATGGGAGTGTTTGGTCCACCGTCTCTTCCAGGAGGCCCCTCCCATTACTGCTCCATGTCCTACCCCCTGCCTTCTCCCCTTACCAGTGCCACCAGATGCTCAGCCCTGCCCAGCCATGTGCGTGGTGTTGCTGAGCTCAGTGGACCATTCCTGTGGCCCTCCCCTCCTCCAGCACTGGCCCTGCAGACCACTGCCCCTTCCTCTTCAACATGCTGGCTCTGGGTCCTGTCAACCGCTGGGCCCAGCCGCAGACCCTTGAAACCCCTTGTGCACATTTCTAGCCTGTGTGAGAGGCCTGCAGGTGGACGCTGGAACAACCTCGTTTGGCCCAGTGCCCTCACCTGTTCCGTGCATGACAGCACACAGACCCACAGGAGCCTCAGGAGTGAACCTGTCCTCACCCGTTCCCTCATGCTCCCTGGGCTGACCCAGGCGACCAAGGCCTTCTTGAGCTGCATGTTGTGAACAGGGTTGACTCCGACTGCTCTGGAATTATGTCAGACACCAGTCTGTGAGCGTCTGTATTGCCTTTACAGCAACGTAAACCCAGAACTAATTCACTTCTACCACTTTTCTCGTACCTCTGGCCAGCCTCCCTCTTCTATGTGTCAGTGCACTGGCCTCTAACTTGCTCCCTCTTCCTGCCTCTGCCCCCTACACTCAGCTCTCAAAATGAGGAGATGACGCTTTATATCCTACACTCAGGAGTTATTTCTTACTCAAAGCCCTGCCGCGACACCCCACCCCACTGCTCCTCTCTCTAGGAGCAGAAGCTCCCAGCTCCTCTGGCTGGGTTTCCTGCCAGGCTGCCCCCGCTCTCTGTGACAGTCACGCTCACCTCCTCGCTGTCCCCACAACGCAGTGGGGCCTTTGCTTCTGTCCGTTTCCCCTCCTGGAATGCTCATCACCAAAGAGAGACTTCCCCTCTCCCCCTTCAGAGCTCTGCTCAGAGGTGGGCTCATCAGTGAGGGTATCCCAGCCACCTTCCTGAGAGAGTGTCCTGCACCACCGCCTTCATCACCACCGCCTTCACCACCGCCTTCACCACCACCGCCTTCACCACCGCCTTCACCACCACCGCCTTCACCACCACCGCCTTCATCACCGCCTTCATCACCACCGTCTTCATCACCACCTTCATCACCACCGCCTTCATCACCGCCTTCATCACCACCGCCTTCACCACCGCCTTCATCACCACCGTCTTCACCACCACCGCCTTCATCACCACCGCCTTCACCACCGCCTTCATCACCACCTTCACCACCACCGCCTTCACCACCGCCTTCACCACCGCCTTCATCACCACCGCCTTCACCACCACCTTCATCACCACCGCCTTCATCACCACCTTCATCACCACCGCCTTCACCACCGCCTTCACCACCACCGCCTTCATCACCACCGCCTTCACCACCGCCTTCACCACCACCGCCTTCATCACCACCGCCTTCATCACCGCCTTCATCACCACCGTCTTCATCACCGCCTTCATCACCACCGCCTTCATCACCGCCTTCATCACCACCGCCTTCACCACCGCCTTCATCACCACCGCCTTCACCACCACCGCCTTCATCACCACCGCCTTCATCACCGCCTTCATCACCACCGCCTTCATCACCACCGCCTTCATCACCACCGCCTTCATCACCACCGCCTTCACCACCACCGCTTCACCACCACCGCCTTCACCACCACCGCCTTCACCACCACCGCCTTCATCACCACCACCTTCATCACCACCGCCTTCATCACCGCCTTCATCACCACTGCCATCACCACCGCCTTCATCACCACCGCCTTCACCACCACCGCCTTCATCACCACCGCCTTCATCACCGCCTTCATCACCACCGCCTTCATCACCACCTTCATCACCACCGCCTTCATCACCACCGTCTTCATCACCACCTTCATCACCACCGCCTTCATCACCGCCTTCATCACCACCTTCATCACCACCGCCTTCACCACCGCCTTCACCACCACCACCTTCATCACCACCACCTTCATCACCACCGCCTTCATCACCGCCTTCATCACCACCACCTTCACCACCTTCATCACCACCGCCTTCATCACCGCCTTCATCACCACCGCCTTCATCACCGCCTTCATCACCGCCTTCATCACCACCGCCTTCACCACCGCCTTCACCACCACCGCCTTCACCACCACCGCCTTCACCACCACCGCCTTCATCACCACCGCCTTCATCACCACCGCCTTCATCACCACCGCCTTCATCACCACCGCCTTCATCACCGCCTTCATCACCGCCGCCTTCATCACCGCCTTCATCACCGCCTTCATCACCACCGCCTTCATCACCGCCTTCATCACCGCCTTCATCATCACCTTCATCACCACCGCCTTCATCACCGCCTTCATCACCACCATCTTCATCACCACCGCCTTCATCACCGCCTTCACCACCACCGCCACCACTGCTGTCAACACGACCTCATCGTTGTCACCTCTGCAACAGCTCCTCTCCCCTCTTCTCTAGAGCCTGAGTACTAATGTCTAACACAATATTTTTTTACTGGTTGACTTCCATCATCTGTCTCCTTCAAGTCTCAGTGCCTTAACACAACAAAGGTTGTTTTTACGTTGGCTACAGGTCCTAGGTACTCTCCAAGGTGGCTGTCTCAGTGTGTTGGCCCCAGGTGGCTTCTGCAAAGGCACCTCCTGGTTGACATGTGGTTTGGAGCCTGGAGCATCTCACACAAGCAGTAAGTGTTCTGGCCCCAAATAATACTTGTCACTTCAGCCCCCTGCCCATAGCCCATCCCCGCCCCTCGCTCCAGGAAGGAGGAAAAAGTGGACGCAGGTATCCACTGGGATCTCCACCTCAGTGTCTGTGGTCTTACGTCCTTTGACAGGAGTGTGTTGTCTGCCTGGTCTGGTTTGAACCTGTGGCCTGGCACTCTGCTTGGTTCTGGGACGCGCTCTCGAGTTTGTGCTCAGACTGGGTAATACAGCCACATGCTCTGTCACGCCCTGCACGCGATGATCCCAGCACCTGTGGCTGTGTGGGTCTGACTTTGTAGTTTTCCGTCTCCTCTGATTTAGGGGTGTCCTGCTGATTTCCTTGTGTGCTGGCGGGTTTTGATTGTTAGTTTGTGTCACAGCGGGACATCTTTGAGTCCTACATCTACGTGGGGTCTCCAGGGAGGACTTAACGATCATTTCTTCCAGGGGCCTCAGGGTGTCACCAGCCCAGAAATTTTCAAGCAAAACTCTTAACTAGGGGTTTGCAGATCTCATGCTCGTGTGAGCGCAGGCTTACATTCACGAATTTTCAAGGACAACTTTTTTTCTCTGCAGAGCCAAGTGTGAGAGAGGCTGTGCCCTTGGAGGGCCAGCTGTGTGCGCTCTCTCGCACTGGGGGTGGTGCCTGTGAGGGGAGGGCGCCCAGGGTGGAGTCTGGCTCCTGCGTGTGCGACTTACCCAGGGGCCGCCTGTTGTTTTGGCCTTGTAGGGTTCCCCGCCCTCTACTACTTCATCGGTGCCTTATTTATTTTTAAAAAGGGGGTGTGTGTCTCATGTTGTGTAGCATCTTAGGCGCTCATTGTCAGGACTCCTGCAAACAGATGAAGAGTGTTGAGTTCCTTGCTCATTCAGCAAATATTTGCTGTGTTTGCCATGTGCCGGGGCCCTGCTGTGCGGCTGTCACCATGTGTGTGCCCTGCACCTCAAAGCCAGTCGCTGGGGGCCTGCAAGGCTCACCCCCGGGGCAGGGGTGTCTGTGAGCAGACAGACCCAGCGTGGTGCCCTGCTGGAGAACAGGGGCCGTGCACATGGAGCTCAGGCTGTCCCTGGGCTCTCCCAGCGCTCTGCCCCAAGGTTACATGCCCAGAACATTCTGCAGAAAAGTCCCCTCCTCTGGGCAAACACGCCCACCAGCCAGTTTAGCAGCAGGTCCAGGCAGCAGCATGTTCAAGGCACTCATCGGGCCTCCACCGTCCCCCTCCCCCATTGGGTGAAATGGCCACAGCTGCTTTCACTCCTTTCCCAAGGTCAAGGGTCAAAGTAGCTGTTGGGGATCTGAATCTGTTGGGCAGGGAGGAATGGGGCTAAAGAGGGAAATCAGTAGCAGATGGAGGGGTTTGAGGAGTTTGCAGGGAGGTGTGTCAGGGAGAGGAAGGACATTACCTGGCCAGTAGGGGGATGGCCGGGGGCCTGGGAGCCAAAGGAACTCGATGCCACAGGTAGGGGAGCTGGAACTGCTGTCCCGGAGAGGGCTAGGGAGGTGGGCAAGGCGCGTGGCCCTGGTGCTGCGATGCGGGGGGCGGGGGGGCGCGGCACGGAGTCCTCAGCAGCACAGAGGAGGGAGGAGCCTGCGTGGAGGGCGGGGGCAGGATGTGGGGACCCTTTCCAGGCATGTCGCTGCAGGATGGACAAGGGGGCAGGGCCTGCCGGGGAGGGCAGGGGAGGACAGGGGATCTGATTCTGTAGGGGTCCAAGCAGGAGGAGAATGGCCTGAAAGTGTCCCATCTCTCACTGTCCTCTGAGGACCCAGCTCAGCCTCTGCTCCCTCCGCTCACACAGGAGCCCCTGGAGGGTCCATACTGGTAGCAAGAGGTGAACCCCGACCTCAGACAAAGGCCAGGGCAGGTAAGCAGTGAGCCCTCAGGGCTGTCCGTGAGGTCGGTGCCTTGGTGCTCCGCAGCACTCCCTGACCCTGTCCTGTCAGCAGCCGTTGGGTGTGCGGGGTGTGTGCAGCGGGTCTGAACGCCATTTTTACACGACTGATGCTTGCCATATGCTCTTCTGTGGAGTCTGGGGGGAGACCCTACTCAGGGGCTGGGGGACAGCCCTGTGCCTGCTCGCTCTGCCCTTGCCCGGTGCCCATCCGGGAAATGCGAGATGATGGCCACCGACGTCAAGAAAGAGATAGTCTTTATTCAAGTGCACAGATCAGTTGCGTGACAACGCCAGGTGAGGGGTCCCAGCCTGCCCCCTTTATTTGTCTCCCATGGTGTCACCTGCTTGGATGCTAGGAGCAGCAAGCGCCCGGTGGCAGCCTCACTTCGAGCAGCAGGCGTGGGTGCAGGGCTCCTGTGCCAGTGGCCACCTGGGCACCAGGACCGAGGTATTTCACAGCCAGCGCAAGGGGCCCGGAGCTCCTGGGCCTGGGCCCGGAGCACCTGCAGGGCACCTGACCGGGCGCTGTGCGCGCGTCCTCTGCATGGAGGACAGCAGCCCACATGGTAGTAAACACCCCGGACCTGGCGTAGAGCAGACTTGTGAGTCTCCACGAGGGTGGACCTTAGGATGCGGGGCCGTGAGGAAGAACTTGCAGGAAGGAGGAGCCTGCTCATGACGTCCCCTCTGGCTCGTGGGCACATCTGTACATAGGGGTCAGTCAGCAGCGGAGCTCAGAGATGATGAAGCTGCCGGCTTGGCCCGCTCACTGTGTGGCCCCAGCCCCATGACTAGGCCTGCTGGGCCTGGGCTCACACACAGTTATCAGGAATGCACTCCACCTCCTCTTCAAGCTCGGGGCAGGGCGCCCCATGGTTGGCAGGCTGTACACGGACATAGCGAGTCCTGGTCTTGGCTCCCAGCTTCCCACATGGACCTCCGCACAGCCCCCAGGACGACCAAAGGGAGACCTCGCAATCCAGTGGTGTTTCTGGAACTGGACCAAGCACAGAAGGGACCTGTGAGCCACATGGAGGAGGAGCTGGCAGCAGAAAGAGACCCCTGGATTGTGTTCGTCCCATGACACCAACCCCAGACTTTGGTGTGGAGAGGGAACACTTGCTTTTCTCAGCATGGTTCAGAGTTGGCTACAAGAAGATGCCACCAAACCTACATCCCAAGAAACCACTAAAATGACTTGAGTTAATGTTTCTACACCAAGATCCTGATGCTGTGCTCGAGTCTCCACTCTGTAGGGCTTTGGGGACAAACTCTGGCATCGTGGCGGCAGGGGCCCTGGGGGACTCTTAGCCATATGGCCATTTCCAGGGGAGTGAGGGGAGCACCCCTGTTGTGAAATGTGCTTCAGTGAGGCCCACACTGAGGGCCTCGTCTTCCTGCCAGACTCGGAGCTGAGCACGAGGGGGCGGGGCCCCCACGCTCACCTAGCACCTGGCGCAAGGTTCCCGTTCTGGTGGGTGGTGCTCCCTCAGTGAACACCTCCACCATCCCCGTTGCCATGGAAGGCACAGAGGGGTCCGCTTAGTGACGCCCTTCCCGTCAGCTGTGGCACAGGCCGGTGGGCATACTTCTGATGGGGACTGGGGCCTCCTTCCCACCTCACTACTGGGCTGTAGACGTGGGAAAACCTTTCACTTACCAGTGTTGGGCAAGAGTTTAATCTTTAGTTTACAGTTTGAACCAATCAGTTCCCAAATCTCCCAGGACTCTAGTCGCCCTCAGAGAACGCCGTGAACCCCTGGAGCCCATGCCGTCTCATACGGCATGCTGTGCATCCCCAGGACCTCGGAGGGCGTGCACCAAGCCCGTTTTCGAAGTTGCTCAGAGACAGGTTCATGTGGCCCCAAGAACACGGTGCCCTAGGCTCTCTGAGCACCAGTAGCCTCTCCTTGGTGTGACTCCCTTCCTGACACCCTGATGTCCCTGGTGGCCTGGCCCAGTCTGGTCGTGGACATGTCACACCCAAGAGCCTGGCTTAGAATTGGGTGACCTCAGTTACAAGTTGGGGCTGCAGCAGGGGAGCACCATGGGGGCGGATGACTGGTCTTGGTCCCTGGGCCATCGCCCCTTATGGGGTCACATGTGGGCCATGGACTTGGCCTCCAGGAGACTTGGTGCATGTCAGGTGTCATTACTGCTGCTTCACAAATGGTCCTTCTTGGGACTCTCCCTTTCAGGGTTATTCTAAGGGTGCAAGGTAAGATCAGCAGGAGGCTGAGAATCAGCAGCTGCCCATGGCAGTGGAGGCTGAGCATGGCCTGTGGCACACACCCACCAGTGGCGGATATGGCGACTCCCGCAAGCCTTACTGCTGGGCCCAGGGACTGTTGAGGGCAGGGAACGCAGCATGCAGGTGGAACCCCGGCTTACCTGAGAGGCCATCCATGATCTCGTTGCTCCTGCCTGCCAGGTCTATGGAGGGCGGAACAAAGACCCTGGGGCTCTGCCGGAGCCGTACCAGGGTCACCCTGGCGATCGGGGGCAGGGCCTTCAGCCGTGGGTAATAGAAGGAGTTTGCCGGGTGGCTGGGAGAGGAGGATGTTATCTGGGGGAGGAGGCGGGAAGGGGTGTCAGCACAGGCTGGGAGCCCGGGAGCCCACCTGCACCTGCTATGTGCTTGGCCCAGGCAGGAGCTAGCAGAGTCCAGCAGGGCAGGGTGGAAACACCTCAGCTGGGGCCTCCACGCCCATCAGGGTGCCTGGTCCACAGCCTTGGAAAGGGGCCAGCCTTGTCCAGGCCCCCACTACGCCCCTCCATCCTGTGGCGCAGTCAGCTCGCTCCTGGGGAGGGCCACATCCCCGCTCACTGGGACCTTGTGGCCAGGGGTGCCATCCAAACAAGGGAGAAAGCTGGGCAACGGGAGCTGCCCTGATGGCCCTCTCCATTGTCCCTCACCTTGGTCACCGTGTCCTGCGGAATGGTTGCGAAGTTGGGGGAGGAGAAGGTGAAGCCGCTGTCTGTCCCAGCGTCGTGTGGGTAAAGGTCCATGGTGACCTGCTCCCTCCAGCGGTTCCCGTCACATAGCTCCAGACTGTCGACGCCCACAAACCAGTCAGGGCTGGGCACGATCCGCACCACAAAGGACACCTGAGGGGCCGGGTACTCAGCAAGGTGGCCAGCATGGCCCACGCCTCTGTCCACCCTCCCACCGTTTGCCACTCACGAGTGAGTGCCTGGCGTGGGCTTCAAACTCCGTGGAGGTCTGCCCTGTGCCGCTGGGCACAGCGGGCGCTGAGAACACCTCGTGCACGCTCTGCAGCTTCTCTCCAGCCGCCTCGATCTCCTTCATCAGGGCCCAGGCCTCACCCCGCTCTGCGAAGTCCCTCAGCCCGTTGCTGGCATACTGGTTCTCTCGCCACATGCTGTAGTCAGAGCTGTGCGCTGCCCCTGTGGGCCTCTCGCCGTGTGAGCCACTGCCCCGAGTGGACACACCCCTCCTTCCCACCCGTGACATGCGGACATCCTGTGGCCTCATGCTGCCCAGACATCTTGCTGGTGTGACCGGTGTCCCGTGGCCCCCCCCCATGACTCTCGCCATGCTGAACCCCACATCCCCAGAGCCCAGGTCATGAATGACCAGCATGCGCTAGGCACCCAGCAAATATTTCTTGCACTGGAGTGAGTTGGATAAGAGTACCCTCCAAACGGTGAAGTGTGGTGCAGCTGTCAGGTGACTGTCCCCTCCCAGGTGCATGCCAAGAGCAGATGGCAGGGGCCGTGCTTACCCAGCAGGGAAGACCACTGTGCGGGTGGCCGGAATAGCGGGTACTGCTTGGGAAAGGCAGTCTGGCTCCACTTGCCCGTGAAGGTGATGCTGTACTTGGCCAGCGGCCGGGCTGTACAAATGGAGTCTCCCCTCAGCGGCTGGCCAGCCACAGAGCCAAGTGTGGCCAGGAGGAGAGCCCAGAGGGCCCCGCCGTGCACGGCGGCCGGGGTCAGAGTTTCCATCACCTAGGAGAGGAGGGAGGGGGCCACGTTCTAGCACTGCTGGTCCTCAGACATCCTACAGTGTGCCTGCTGGACAGGGACCTAGGGGACAGCCCCTGAATATCCCTTCCCTGTTCCACCTCTGGGCTCAGGCTTGGCCTGGTCCCCTTTCCAGAAAGTTGAGCCGGTCGGTTACAGCTGGATTTGCAGGCGTGTCTCTAGGAACCCAGGGTGCCTGGCAGGTTTAGGGCCCTGGCGCGCGGGCACGGCTTCCCTGATGACACACCTCTGGCACTGCCATCCGAGGGAGCCCAGACCCTGGAGGGTAAACTTATGGACTCCCTACACCCAGGACTACATGGTTTCTTAGGGGAGGGGGCAAAGCACCAGAAGGCCCAGGTGACTTGGGGGTTGGGGACAGAGGTGCACACACGGTACTCACCCAGTGGGAGCAGCAGGAAGGCAGGCAGTTGGGCTGTGGCCTGGGACGGTCCCAGCAGGAGCCCAGAGCTCTAGTTTATGCTGAGGATGGCACCCGGCTGGTCAAGGAGGCCCCAGGTCCTCCACTGTGGCCTGCAGAGAGCGGGCGGTAAGATGTGGGGAAGAGAGAGGGACTGCAGTGCCCTGGAGCGGCCCGGCCGCCCTGCCTCGGAGGCTGAGCAGAGGCTTCTCCAGCGCTGAGGTCACTCTCCTCCCTGGTCGGGTGGCTGCCAGCCGCCGCACCCCTCTCTTTGTCCTCCCTCCCGCCCACGCCTCCCTCTCCTCTCCCTCCTGCTCTCTGCTTTCCCATCAGGCCTTCCTAGTGTCTCCCTGGAGGTGGTGCCAAAGCCAGCGGGTTGCAGCCACAGTCACAGCCTCACGGTAGAGCGAGTGTTGGAGCCCAGCTGGGAAGTGGGAAGTGCGGCCTTGAGCCTCTGGTTGCTTCAAACACAGCTGCCTCCTTCACAGGACAGAGCTGCACAGAGACGTGCTGGCCACACTGCTGGCCAGGGCCTCCGCCTCCACTCTGAGAGGGTCCAAACCCTGGGGCCAGTGCTCAGGGATCAGCCACAGAATTGCCGCCCCCATCCCCGTACCCTCCTGAAAGGCAGCCAGGCTCCTTCAGAGCAGAGGCAACAGTCCCCGACCCACTTCCCTCTGAAGGGCACAGTGTCAAGGGTGCTTGGCACGCAGGGCGCCGCTGACAGGTCCTGCAGTCTGTCACTGCTCGCTGTCAGGAACATGTTCCTAGAACCCGAGTCACGAGGTCTGGGAACCGGGAGAGTGGACAGAGGATGGTCTTGCTCTTCAGAACCTGCCCCTGCCCCCACCCCCGGGGAAGGTTTTATGCTTGAACAGAAGCATTCTGATTTTTGGAGCCATGTTAATATTTCATATATTCAAAAATGGAGAGAAAAATAAATAGAATCAACCAGAATAGAATGCAAACAAAATGAGTGATGTCACCTGTATTTCAGATCAACACCACAAGCTCAAGGAAGTAACTGAGCATCTGTTGACACTACAGGCCCTCAGGCCAAACACAGTCTGACTCAGTGGCTCTCAGACGTGGACTCAGGACCCTCACACCCAGAACATCTGTTTGTGTGGGTTACACAGCATCGTCCAGAATACTTAACTCACTCAAAAATAACGAAAGCAAACCTACTACATGGGAACAGAAATAGCATGTTTTATAAAAACAGCTTTATTTTTCAAAAAGACGACCTTTGTGAGAAGAGTGGCCTGGCTCTGCCTGCAAGCCCGTCTCTCCCTTCTGCTCCTGCACCCGTTGGACAGGTGTGTCGTGCTGGCCGCCGTCCTTGTGGCCCTCGCTGGAGGAGGGCTGTGCTCTCGGCCTCGGTGGGTCATGTGGAGGCGCCGCCAGCTCTGGGAAACCCTGCACACTGGTGGGAGTGGGAACAAGTGGCCGATGACGCCTTCCAGCTTCTCTGGAGAAGCGGTGACCCTAGTTCTGAGGACAGAAGCAGGGGTGTGGGCACACCTCGTCCCCTCGCCACCCCCCACCAGTTCTCCCAGGCTCGGTCCAGGTCTCATCTGCGGCTCAGCCGTACAGGAGGCTCAGGGCGGCTGGTAGGCGGCCCCTCACCGTCAGGAGGCTGCTCCCCCAGCCTCCCACGCCCACGCAGAGGGGCTCCGCAGCCGGACCGAAGGGCGAGCGGCACGGCCGGGCCTGGGCGGAGGGCGGCCAAGGAGGTACTTCCTTTCCTGGTGGAATGCCCCTCCTCAAGATCATGCTGGAGGGGCGTCTTGGGACACGATGGAATGGGGAGGGAGCCCGATTATTTGAGGGGCACAGTGAGAGACGCTGGGCCAGGTGACCTGTGGCCCGTCGGTCTGGGCTGGGCCTGGTGTGGAGCCCGGCTGGAAGGGATAGGCCCACCCTGTGAGTCTTGGACTCTGCTCTGAACCTCGACCGTCAGGCCCTCTTTGCAAACCCAGGTGCTGCATCCTGCCCCTGCTGGGGGTTAAGTGTAGAGCGCGTTTTGGGTCTCAGTGGTGGGGACACAGAAGTGACCTCAACAGACGAGAGCCCTGCTCCCCGTCACTTCCAGATAAGGGGTGCGGGTGGACAGCACGCATACTGTAAACTGGGTTCTGTGATCCCATCATCAGTGCATCGTGGACTGGTTGACACTGATACCAGGGCCCTTGCCTGCAGGTCACTCTGGTCAGTCGCCCCTGCGGTGGTTTTAGGGGGATGAGGCTCGGGTGTGGCTGCACGCCAGGACTCGCGCCCCCACTCTCCCTGTCTGCACCCTTCCCCGGTGACTCAACGGCTGCAGTGGGCGTCCCTTTGTCCCTGGAACCCTGGACCTCAGTGCCTACTGCAGCTCAAATTAGTGTCAGGACAGGATGAGCACGGCGGGCCCCGCCTCAGAGGACATGTGCCATCTTAACCGGTGTCTAACCTAGTTGCCGCAGCGGGCTTCGGGCAGCTGTGGCGTCCTCCCGGCGGGGAGGCAGGGAAGCGGGGCTGTGCGGCTTCCAGGAACCCCAGTTCCTGAGTTGCTGAGGAAGGGCCTGACATGCCGGGAGCTCGGGGTGAGCTCTGTGTCGTCCTTCTCTGTCCCTCTTGTGGCCTTGCCCTGGGGCCCAGGACCCGGGATGCCCCAGGGGAGCTCCGCTTCCAGCTGGCCCAGGGAAGCCTTGCTCACCTCTCCATCTGGGTTCTGGCCGAGGGGCCCTCTGGGCCTGGCTCACAAGGGCTCTTTTCAGACATTCCCCAGGCCTGACTCGGGCAGTGGGACAGGCTGGCCCCTCCCGAGCCCACAGACCCAGGCCTGGCGTCTGGGTCCCTAGAGGGACCTGCCAGCCACACAGGCACCCATCTGTCTGCTCTCTCATCCACTCAGCAGACGTTTACCGGGGGCGTTCCTGCCCGCCGCCAGACCGCACACAGCATTCCTGGGGCTGCTGCAGTCCTGCAGGCTGAGCTTCCCAGCCTGGGCCCCGGCCCACCCCTCCGTCTCAGCACCTCTTCCTCTGCCCGTCCCTGTTTCCTCGCCCGAAGGCATCCCCGCTGTGCCCTCCCTCACAGGTCTCAGGAAGCCCTCCTGAGCTCCGGGCCAGAGGAGCACCTGGTCACGGCCAGGAGCTCTCCTTGTGTGGGCAGAGGTGTTTGCCGCAAGTGTAAGCCGCTCACAGAGGTGTCAGGACTGGGCAGGCTGGGCCTGACTTTCAAAGCCGCCAGGTGCCCCGGAACCTGCCCACCTCCCTTCAGTTCAGCTCCACTGGACTCAGGTTCTTGCGAGCACTTCGGACCCCTCGGGAGTCCTGGGTCCTGGGCTCAGCTTGGCAGCCTGTACAGTCCAGGATCGGGGAGGTGCTGAGCAAGGGAGCCCCACATCCATGGCGCCCACACCCCCTGTCCTCTCACTCCAGAGTTCATGCCCAGTGGGGGGACAGGGGGTGTCCCCCTGTGACCATGCAGGGGGTCAGAGGACCCTGGACTCTGGCCAAGCATGGCCCTGACCTCTAGCTCCACTTTTCCAAGAGGCCAGGCCACACTGCGGAGCTGTAGACTTGGGCCGTGTGCCTCTCTGGCTCTGCACACAGACCCGCCTGCCTCTGTGCAAGTCAGCCTCCCAGGAACATGGGTCTGCCTGTGCCTGGGCACTTTTACCATGGTGTCTTCACCCACATTGAGAAACCAGGATTTCTGAAAATGCCGTCCTTCGTAAAAGAGAAAACAGGCAAAAATGATGAAGACAGACTTTTTAGGTACAGTGAGTCCTCAATGTCGCCATAGTTTCTGCGGGTTTAAGCAAAAACAAAACTAGTTGTACCCCAGGCTAATTGACGTAAACAAGGGTGAAGTTCCCGAGACATCTCATCAACATTGTAACAAAACAACTTTAACAAACAACCTTGACTCAGGACCAGCTGTACATGATTAATCAAAGGCTTGCTGTGTTTTTAGAGAGGATTTTTGGTTTTTACCAAGAAAATTTTCTGAATCTTGCTCAGAACAGAACAGCAAGTTATGAGGTGTTTGTGTGTGTTTGTCTTCACCTCGTCCAAGTGCGTAGCACAGTGGTGGTCAACGCATTCACACTGTTGTGCTGCATCCGCGCCATCCACCCCTGATCTCCACTTTGCAAAACTGGAACCGTCTCCCCCAAACACTCACCCCTCTCCGCTTCCCCCAGCCCCTGGCTCCCACCATCCTACTTTCTTTATGAAGTTGACAACCCAGGAAACCTCACATAAGAGGATCCGCAAGAGTATTTGTCCTTCGTGACTGGAAGACTTGGAGTAATGTCCTCGAGGTTTCCCCCCGTTGTAGCATGTGCCGGAATTTCCTTCCTTTCTGAGGCTGAATAGTATTTCATTGTATGGACGGACCACATCGTGTTTATCTGTTCATTCATTCACTGACACTTGGGTGGATTCCACATTTTGTCTGTTGTGAATAATGCTGCTGGGAACATGGGTGTGCAGATACCTGTTTGAGTCCCTGCTCTCAGTCCTTTCGGTGAATGCCCAGAAGTGGAGTTGCTGGGTCACACCGTAGCTGT